AGTCTCATAATCACAGCAGCAGCTACTATTTATTTTGTTTTATACATACTAATTTCTCCTCAAAATTACTCTATTATTAGTGCTTATCTTTACAAGACATAAAGTGACTAAGAATGAGATACTCTTGAACTTTAAAACCCAAATCTATACACCATGCTAAAGTTAGAGTGGCAAGAAAGAAAAAAAGGTAAGCTTTAGACCCTAGAAATGCCTCATCCTTTGCACTTGCACTCAACTAGGCACTTCCTCTAACAAAGACATCAACTTCTCTTTTGGAAAGAATTATCCACTGGGATGCATCCTGGAGGCAAGGGGCAGATTAAGTCACTCCAGACTATCATGTCGCTGAGGTCCAGGGAGACTGTAGGGCAACAGCAACTGCCAAGTCAAAGTGTAGATTTAACAATCATGACTCAACATGATTTCTGGTTTACACGTTAATGAAACACAAGTCAACCAAAAGCCAACTAAGCTTCTAAGGAAAGTACAAAAGTCTAAACCAGGCGAACAAAAACATCACGATTGTTCAGTCCCTACTGACCCCACCTCACAACAAAAGAAAGTGGGCTGCTAAAAAGCCCAGCTCTCAGAAAGGGTATCCTCCCAAATGTCTAGGGAAATCTTCCCAGAAAAGCAAATTAGAGATGCCAAATTGGCCAAGCAATTAATTCTATTGCTAAGAAAGAGAGTTCTCAGGATATTCCTGGCCAGCTGGATTTTAGCTATGGATCTGGTAATCATTGTGTGTTGTTTTCCCTTCTTCCATTTTGTAAACTCTTTTCATTGCAGCCACCCTGTTTTCCCTTCATCATTGTAAATTGGGAACATGGGGAGGCAGAGGGGAGAGAAGAAGAATTAAAATTCACATTTATTTATAGTTTTCCAGACCAGAGACTTGGAGCTAGATATAATAACTGGGCAAGTCTAGGTTATCTTCTTTTAGGGAGAGGATGGGTCTGTTTTCAATCACATATGAACAGCTGCATGAGTTAAGTAGTGCATTTCTGAATTATACACATATGAATAAGGGTATGTATGTGTGGTAGGCAGCTTAGAAAGCAGTTCCCAATGATCCCCACCTCCTGGTATTCATACTCTTGCATAAATCTCTCCCCTTAAGTGTGGATTGGACCTAGTAACTTGTTTCCAGTGAATAGAATATGGCAAAAGTGATGAGCTGTCACTTCTGAGCTCAAGTGATAAAAAACTTGCCTGTACTCTCTCTGGCCCTTCTTACTTACTTGCTCTGATAAAGAAAGCCGCCACGTTGTGAGCTGCCCTATAGAGAGGCCACATGCAAGGAATTGAAGGGGGCTTCCAGTCAACAAGAAACTGAGGCCCCCAGTCCAAAAGACTTTGGTGAACTGAATCCTGCCAACAACCACATCAGCTTGAAAGCAAATCCTCCCCCAGTTAAGCCTTTAGTTGAAACTAAAGCCCTGGCCAACACCTTGACTGCAGCCTTGAGAGACTGTGAGACAGAGGACTCAGCTAAGCTATGCCTGGCCTGTATTCCTGACCCACAGAAACTGAGAGATAATAAATGTTGCTATTTCAAGCCACTAAGTTTTGGGGTGATTTATTATGCAGCAATAAGTAACTAATACTGTTACTCTGGCTGCTAAACAGCCAAAGAAAAAACTATAGTGCATATCTATCATTTTTTGTCTGTCCAAAATCAAATGATATCTTTTCTGGTAAATACACATTGATTTTCCTTTGGGAAACCATTCCTTCCATTATTCTCAGTAAGTAGTTCAAATAGGGTTGTCTCATCTTATATAGGCTCTTCCCTGACTAAATATACTTGACCCAGGCTTAGCAAATGAGACCCAAGGCTGAGACTTCTGCTGGAATCACTACGGGAAAAAAAGCACTCTTCCTAAAGAACATAAAGTTGAGAGAATGTCAGCCAGGAGCTAATAAGGCCACAAAATGGAGAGAGCCTTTCTGAAAACAAAACTAATTACAAAGAAAATGAGAGTCAAAACAAAGAAGAAGAGAGTCCAGGATGGAGAAGTGATTAAGTCCTGTTGACATTATTTGAGCTTGAAGCAACAATGCCTCATGTCAGTCTCTCTCCTGACTTCACATGAATCAATATGTTTCTCTTTTTCCTTCATTTTTCACCTTAAATCAATTTGAGTCCAATTTATGAAAAAAAAAAAGAAAAAAAGATTTTCAAGGTACTAAACTAGGAAGTCAGAGACAATAGGAACCAAATCTGTCTTACTCACTTTTGTATTCCCCATTGCTCAGCCCAATGCCTGGCAAGTAAGAATCACTCAATAAATATCTATTGAATGAGTGAGTAAAATCATTCTAAGAAAAAACACTGAATAGGCCCAATTAGCAAAAATGCAATCAAATGTTTATAATTCCTAAGAGAGTAAAATCTCTTTAAAAAAATAAAAATAGTGCTCTAGTTCTAAAACTTTGAAAAATTAATTGCAAAAATTATTTTAAGTACAAAGATAATTTCGATTAGATAAGCCATTTAAAAACTCCCACGGTTCATTTTATCTTAAATAAAAATGCTCTAATTGCTAGGATTATTCCTTTTCATTATGAAAGAAAAACTCTTCTTTCTAGATATATTCTCATCTTGGGGCATTTTTGTAATTAAGGCTAGTACTTATTTTAGCAATACTACATTAGCTAGCTCCCATAATATGATAATGATTATGCCCCAAATCAATTGGTTAGAACTTACAATATATTCTTTACTATAGACACAATTCTATATATAAATGATGTTTTAATTCTTAGGTTTATTAGGAGAAATATAGAGTTACACCATCATCTAGGTCCAACCATTCCTTTATAGGAAATACAGAGACAGAAGCATGTCAAACCAGACCAAGTGAATACAATCATCAAAGTACAGACTGTGAGAAATTTCTACTGGACAAACAATTTGGTTTCTTCAACAAATAAACTGCAAGGGGAAGATATAGAGGTGGAAGGGAAACCTACAGACTAAAACAGACTTAAAAGACACATCAACCAATTGTAACCATGTAAACCATTTTGGATCCTGACTTAAACAAACAAAATTTTAAAACTGTGACATGTGGGAGACAACTGGAAATTTGAATATTTAGTGGATGTTTGATAATGTTAAGGAATTATCATTATTAGTTAGGTATGATAATAGTATTGTAGTTATATTAAAACAAAGAGTCCTTATCTTTTAGCTGTATATACTAAAATTTTGACTGATAAAAGATGATGTCTGAATTTCCTTTAAAATAATTGGGGAAGGGGAAATAGATATGGACATGGATGGGGCAGTCTTGATCATAAATTGATGATTATTGGGGCTAGATGATGAGTACATGGAGATTCATTATACTGCTCTGTATATGTTTTAAATTCTCCAAATAAAAAGTATTAAAAATACAAAATAAGTAAAAAGAACACAGAAAAAGTATAATGTACCTAATTAGTATGAATCTGGTGACCATATTATCTAAATTTTAAAAATCTGGATACTTGGGCTAACAAAATATTTGAATACATCTACCCAAGAAATCACCTGATTATAGGCTTCTAAATTTTTATAGTAATTACAATAATATGAATTAAGAATACTGAAGATAGAGGCAACTGATACAGATAAAAGAGGAGGAAGAAGGTAGAGTCCCCCTCTCTTTGGCAGAGGATTTGCATTGGCATATTATCTTTAGCTTCCTCCTGGTACCTTTCCTCAACTAATTTTTAATATATTTGTCAAGCACTTACTATATGCAAGGTGCTGGGATAGAGGCCCTATAGGAGAGACAAAGACGAGCAATGAGGGTACCCTGTGCCCCTAAGAAGCTTACAACTCAGTAGATCCCTCGTGCTGATGTTCTCTGACCTGTAAAACATTTCCCCATCTCCCATTGCCACATGCCAACCTTCTTGTATTACTCTAGAAAGCATTTCACTTCAAAATTACCTGTTTTTCTTCTGATGGGGTTGAGGATACACTATCCCAAAATACGGCCCCATGGCATGTTGAATATTACAAGCTGAAGAAATTTAGGAAAACAGGAGAAGCAAGAAGCAAGAAGGTCACTCTGGCCTTCTGTTGTCCTCCCCTAAAGCACGTCATAAAACCTAGGAAGGATTTTCTGACCTTCCTCTTCAGCAGGTCATAAGACCCTCATATGAGAGGTGCCCTCCCCATACCTGGAGGAAAGAACATTCTTATTTCTGAAGACACAGGGGCACAGAGAAGAATCTAAACAAACAGGCTTTGCCAAGTTTTCCCCAGCTTGTTACCATTAGATCGTACCTCTTTGCCCTATCACATTTCTCCACAACTGTCCACTCTTCATCAAACCTATCATAAAAGTATATACATTTAACTGTTCCTTAGGGTCTTCATTTCTTTATGAAGGCCCCTGTGTCACATAACACTTATATTAAATCAATTGGTATGTTTTTCTCTTGTTAATCTGTCTTTTGTTACAGCCACAAACCTAGGATGAGTAGAAGAAAAGATGTATTTCCTCCTCTACACTTCTTAACTCCCCATAAGAACTTCCATTTTGACTTGCCTTTGGTGATTCTTAAAAGGAAAATTTTTAAAAATCACATTAAATAAATTCATCCAATTATCAATGAGGAAAACAATTGAACCCTGTCAGTAACTGGCAGGTCAGGCCTACCCTGGAGTCAGCTCCAAGAGTTAAATCTAATGTGCTCCTACTTGTCACGGCTTCTTCTGTCCTTTCTTAAGTGAATCTACATATTCTCAAAATGCTTCAAATTTCACTAACCCTGTCCTAAACCCACAACCAAAGTACCTTAGGGCATTCAGGTTCTACTTCAGTGAAAAGTTCTTGTCTTGTGTTATGAAAAGGTGACCAATGGCATAGTTAAAATATTTCTAATGTGGCTGAATTTTTATAAAGTTGACTAAATATAATTAATGAAGATAATTCCATATTCCTTATAATGAACTAATGTGAAAAGAAGCAGTTTTAATCAAACTTGGAACATAATTATACCTGCATAGTCCTTCTTTTAGTTAGCGTAACCTGAAAATTTTTCCACTCCCAATGTTGCTCCACCACATGTGCAAAAACAACATGTCCATTTCCACAGGCTCCAGCGATCTGAGTGCCGTCAACTGACCACGCAATATTAAATATGCTGCCAGTGTTGGGTTTTTCTAAAGTATATGACCACTGGGGAAGAAAAGAAAAAATTGATTTATTGAAAAAAAATTTAAAGAAATTTAAAATTGGGCACATAACATACTAAGATAATTTTTAAAAGAATGTGTCTTTATTCTAGAATTATAAAAAATTTTCTTAATTAAATTATAGTTTACTGAACAGAAGATACAGACATAATTCTTAAAGTACCTAGTAGAATCACATGATAAAACAGTGTATGAAATCTCTCAAGAACTGCATAAAACCCACATCATTTCAATTTACATTATTACTTTTAAGTAATAATACTGCACAGGTAAACACAAAGATGCTGTAGGAAAAAACAAAGACATCTTACTTTTAATTCTTAAGGCTCTATATAGTCTCTCTATCTAAAGATTTCTGATTACAGTATTTCAAGATAGTCACTAAAAATTGAAACTAAACACACAATGTAACCAAAATATCTGACACAAATTCTAAATCATGAAAGTATAAGTAAATGAATCTATTTTTTTCCCAGAATGCAGTACCTCTTCTAGCACCTATCTGAGAAAGTTATCTAGAGATATCAACAAGTATCAAACAGGACAAAAGAGATTCTTGTTTGTATAAGTAAGACAATAAGAAAAAAATGAACTTTTTGATAGATGGTATTATATGCATTTTCTTTCAGTTTTCAGATGTAACATATGTATTTGCTAGAAGGATAGTTAATTTATTTGACTAAACTTACGTACATAGTCTCTTTCCGTTCTTCAACCTTACACCCTATAGTCAATTAAGTCTTTTGTTAGTTTGTTTGTTTTGGAGAGAGAGCCTCCTGGATAGAGTATGGTGGTGTCATCATAGCTCAGTGCAACCTCAAATTCGTGGTCTCAAGTGATCCTCCAGCCTCAGCCTCCCAAGTAGCTGGGACTACAGAAGGCACCACACTCTGCTAACTTTTTTTCTGTTTTTTGTAGAGACCAGGTCTCACTCTTGCTCAAGCTGATCTTGAACTCCTGAGCTCAAGCGAATCTCCCCATCCTCCCACCTCAGCCTCCCAGAGTGCTAGGATTTACAGGTGTGAGCCACCATGCCCAGCCTCAATTAAGTCTTGATTTTGTTGGTGTTCTTGACCAAATATATATATATATTTTGTTTTATATTATTATTTTTTCAGAAATATTTGTTATTAGCTATGGGCTCACTTTGACAACAAATTTGGAAGAAATGGAAAACTACAGAAAAAGATTTACTAATTCATACTACAATAAAACAAGATTTTAAATTCCTAATAAAAATTCATGCGTAAGATAAAAATACTGCATGACTGACTCTTTGTCCACTCACTGACATTTTCTCCAACACCCTCCACCCCTTTTGAACCTCTAGCTTTTGCTTAATGGCTTAAGTAAAAGCCCTAATAATAAAGTTATCAAGGAGGAGATAATGAACAAACCATAAACTTTGCTTCATGAGCAGTATGAAAACATTAGAAACTTCCTTTCCAAAATTAAGAATAATTCAAAAAAGAATACACATGTTTGAAGCCATCTTTTAAAAAATACTAGTAAGTATAGAAGACTGGTAACTTCAAAGATAAAAATAATCTGCATCTGGCAAAAAATGAAATTAACTGATTTGTGTTTGACAAACAAGATTTATAAAATACTACATGACTACCTTTTACATAAAGATTAATACATAGTATTTAATGGTTTGGACCAGGCTTCTGGCACATTTCTCTTTCATTGTAAAGCTAGTCTATTCTCATGGTGCAGAGGTAACAGAAATCTTATTTTAAATTGTATTTTTAAACCACAGATTCATATTTTTTTAAACTACAATAGTCCCCCCTTAGCCACAGGGATATGTTTCAAGTCCCCCAGTGGATACCTAAAACCATGGATAGTACCTCACTCTATAAATATTTAATACTATGTTTTTTCCTATACATATATACCTATGTTAAAGTTTAATTTATAAATTTGGCACAATAAGAGATTAACAACAACTAAAAATAAAATGGAACAATTTTTAATTTATATTTCAATAGATTTAGGAGTAAAATAGAATAATTATAACAATATACTATAATTAAAAAGTTATGTGAATGTGGTCTCTCTATCTCTGATTACTTCTGGAATTTTCCATTTAATATAATATTTTCAGACTGGGGCTGACAAGGATAACCGAAGCTGTAGAAAGTGAAACTGCAGAAAGCGAAACCGAATACTGTATTTACTTTAAAATATGGTTTTAGGCCGGGCGCGGTGGCTCACGCCTGTAATCCTAGCACTCTGGGAGGCCGAGGCGGGCGGATTGTTTGAGCTCAGGAGTTCGAGACCAGCCTGAGCAAGAGCGAGACCCCGTCTCTACCAAAAATAGAAAGAAATTAATTGGACAGCTAAAAATATATAGAAAAAATTAGCCAGGCATGGTGGCGCATGCCTGTAATCCCAGCTACTCAGGAGGCTGAGGCAAGAGGATCGCTTGAGCCCAGGAGTTTGAGGTTTCTGTGAGCTAGGCTGACGCCACGGCACTCACTCTAGCCAGGGCAACAGAGTGAGACTCTGTCTCAAAAAAAAAAAAAAAATACGGTTTTAAAACACCTGAAGAACCAAATCAGCCAGAAAGAAACCTTACTAACATTAAACATAGAAATATGTACTAAAAACTTATGGATAGATGATCCTAACTAAGAGAAAACGGAAAGAAATGTTTAGATAATGTATCATCATCCTATATTCCTCTGGTTTCTTTCATAGTCCACATGAACCAACAAAAATAAAATCTGCAGCATGCAACTTATCCCAAAAAACAGATTTCAAAGAATATAGGTGGAGTATCCCTTATCTGAAATGCTCAGGACCCAGAAGAGTCTTGGAGTTCAGATTTTTTCAGATTTTGGAATATCTGCATATATATAATGAGATATCATGGGAACTGGAAATTTCAAGTCCAAACACAAAATGTATTTATGTTTTATATACACATTATATATATATAGCCCAAAGGTAATTTTAGATACTATTTCTAGTAATTTCGTGTATGAAACAAAGTTTTGACTGCATTTTGACTACAACCTATCACATGAGGTCAGGTGTGGAAATTTCCCCTTGTGGCATTATGTTAGCACTCAAAAAGTTTTGGATTTTGGATTTTTCAGATTAGGGATGCTCAACTTGTATAACAGTATCATGACAGGGAAATAAATTAAATTCTTAAATTAAAAACTCTTAAAGATCAGGGTTTAAAAATTAATTTAAATGTAAAAATTTAAAATTTAGTAATTTCTGTTCTAGATTACTCTAGGGATCAAAAAATACACAAGCAAAACTGAATCAGCAGAGAAAAGTCTTTAATAGTTACTAAATTGGGGGTGACAGGGTTGTATCTTGTCCAATCAGTAAATTAGACAGTTTTTATTGGTAAACCAAAAAGATCTCTCTATTATTTGTGCTTTTAAAGAGGCTTTTAACACTCTAAGTCCCTTCTTTTCCTTAAATATGCTATGGAATGCTTGATTCACATTTGTATCACTACCCTCTAGAAGGGAATGAGGCAGCCTCCCTCGGTGTAATTTAGTGGTACTGGCAGCAAGAACCCTGAAGATGAATTTTTAAATATCCCTCTTGATGGGGCTCAGAACACACTACCTCCAAAACAGGGCACCTTGGCATTTGAGAACACAGCGGAAGCATGAAGGTCATTCTCTGACCTTCTCCCATCCTTCTCCCCTGAGGCAAGTCGTAAGACCATCATGGGAGAGGTTTCTTCCCTGTACCACAGAGACACAGAGAAGAATCTGAACAAACAGGCTTTGCTAAGTTTCTCCCAGTTTATTACCATTAGATCATATCCCCTTTTTCCAATCATACTTTTCCATGACTGTCCACTCATTATCAAATCTAAGTATAAAAATACATAGGTTTCCCTGTTTCTTGGGATCTTCATTTCTGAAGGCTTCTGTGTCATGTAAAATTTATATTAAATAAAATTGTATGCTTTTTTTCTTGTTAATCTATCTTTTCCTATTGGGGTCTCATCCATGAACCTAAGATGGGAAGAAAAGATATTACTTTTGCTCCTCTACACTCTCACTTAGGCTTATCTCTTTCTTTAATTGGACTATCTCTTACTTTAAGATAATGTTACTTAAAGTATGTGAAGGCCAGCAGCATTTGTATCACCTGTGAGTTTCTTAGAAATACAAATTCATGGACCCTGCCCCAATCTATTGAATCTGACTGGGATGAGGGACAGGAAGCTTTTAGCAAGCTCTTGACATATAATAATTCTTATGCACATAAAGTTAGGACACTGGTTCTCAATGCAGGCTACACATTAAGATCATCTTGGAAGCTTTTTAAAAAACCAAAATGGCTGGGTGCAGTGGCTAACGCCTGTAATCCCAGTACTTTGGGAGGCTGAGGTAGGAGGATGGCTTGAGGCCAGGAGTTCAAGACTAGCCTGGGCAACATAGAGAGACCCAGTCTCTACAAAAAGTAAAAATATTAGCCAGGTGTGGTGGCATGTGCCTATAGTCCTAGCTACCCAGGACACTAAAGTGGTAGGATCGCTTGAGCCCAGGAATTTGAGGCTGCAGTGAGCTATTATAATTGTGCCACTGCACTCTAGCCTGGGCAAAAGAACAAGACCTTGTCTCTCAAAAACAATAACAACACCCACCCCCCCAGCAAAACTCTGGCCCTAATCCAACAAATTAAATCCAAAATCTCTTGTGGTAGGGTCTCAGCATGTTTTTAAAAGTTTTCTAGGTGATTTTAGTGAAGAGCCACTGTTTCAAGAGAAAAGCAAAATTTGTGATTTGATTTAAAACTATCATTAGCAGCTGGCTGTCTGATACTACCATGCCAACTCATCTGCTAATTTAAGAAAATTACAGGCTGGGTGTGGTAGCTTATGCCTGTAATCCTAGCAGTTTGGGAGGCCAAGGTAGGAGGATCACTTGAGGCCAGGAATTTGAGACCAGCCTTAGTAACAGCGAGACCCCATTTCTACAAAAAATAGAAAAATTAGCC